TTATTTATTTATTATGTGTACAGCATTCCTTCCATGTGTGCCCGCATGCCAGAAGGGGGGCGCCAGATCTCATTATCGATGGCTGTGAGCCACCATGTGGTTGCTGGGAATTGAACTCAGGACTTCTGGAAGAGCAGTCAGTGCTCTTAACCACTGAGCCATCTCTCCAGCCCTTATTAGTGTTTTTTGAGACAGGGTTTCTCTCTGTATCCCTGGTACTCTCTTTGTAGACCAAACTGGCACCAAACTCAAGAGATCTGCCTGCCTCTGTCTTTCAGGTGCTGGGTTTAAAGCCATGTGCCACCACAAGCGGTCAAGATTTATTTTTATTTTGGGGCTGGAGAGATGGCTCAGCGGTTAAGAGCATTGCCTGCTCTTCCACAGGTCCTGAGTTCAATTCCCGGCAACCACATGGTGGCTTACAACCATCTGTATGTAATGAGGTCTTGTGCCCTCTTCTGGCCTGCAGGCATACACACAGACAAGACACTGTATACATAATAAGTAAATAAATGTTAAAAAAAGATTTATTTTTATTTTATATGTATAGGTAGTTTTGCCTGCATGTATGTCTGTGCATTATGCGCATGCAGTGACTGTGGCGGTCAGAAGAGGGCGCTATATCCATGGGCCTGGTGGGGCTTAAATGAGAAAGGATCCCATAGGCTCATATATTCGAATGCTTGGTCCTGAGTTGGGACTTTGTTTGAGAAGAATGAGGAGGTGTGGCCTTGTTGGAGGAGGTGTGGCCTTGTTGGAGGAGGTGTGTCATGAGGGGGTTAGACTTTGAGGTTTCAGAAGTCAGTGCCATTCCCAGTTGGCTCCCTCTCTTTGCCTCATGCTTGTGGATCAGGATGCAAGCTAGGGGCAACTGTTCTACCAGCTACCTGCCCACCTGCCAACCTCCCCACCATGATGGCCACAGACTCACCCTCTGAAATGGGAAGCCCCAATAAAATGTTTCTTCTGTTGCCTTGGTTATGGCATTACAGCAAAGCAACAGAAAAGTAACAAAGTTATCATCATGAGGGTGCTGGGAACTGAACCCAGGTGCCTCTGCAGGAGCAGTGAGTGCTCTTAACCACTGAGCCATGCTTCCAGATTCTTTATTTTTAACTTGCCGGGAAAATAATTAGCCAGATAATGTGTCATTATGTACTCCTAATTGGCCTGGAACTCACTGTGTAGACCAACCTGGCCTTGAACTCACAGAGATTGGCCTCTCTTGGCCTCCCGGGTGCTGGCATTAAAGGCATGCACCACCACATCTAGCTGAATTTTTTGAAGTTTTAGAAAGAGTTTCACATTGCAGCCCAAGCTGCCATCCAGCCTGGAACTCACTATGTGGTCAAGAACAACTCGGAACTCCTAATCTTTCTGTATTCACCTTTCATGTGCTGGCATACAGACCTTGTCACCAAGGCCACCCCAGTTCCTCACACAGTGGAGGTCACACTTATAATTGCTAACCCTCCAGGCTGTCCAGAAAGGGAGATCTTTAACCACAGGCCTGAAGGGACTCAAGGTCAGTCACAGGTGGATGGGAGGGTCTTCTGAGTCCTGATGGGGGAAGCTGTGAGTGTTCAGAACCAAACCGCCCCTGGCAGTCCCGCCCCCACCCCCCACCCCAACTCAGGCCAACCTCTGAGCACTCAGCTCTAGGGGTATCAAAGATATCGCTCCTGCTATGGAGTGTTAGCTGAGCCAACACGTGAAAATCGTTAGAGGTACCTTCCACCACCCCAGGAAATGACAGTTTGAGATACATACCAAATTTTGTTGTATGCGTCTAGGCATTCCGGCTTAACGTTGTGAACTGAAAGGAAAAGAAAATGCAGCGATGAGCGAATGAAGAGACGGACGGAGCCCCGCACAAGGCCGGCGGCCGGCTGCCACTCACACTGTAACTTGTACAGACTGCTAGTCTCCTTCTTGGCCAGGAGGTTGGAGTGCGCATCTTTCCTCGGATCCACCTTCCTGACAAACAAGGACTTGAGCCAGCTGTCTTCCCGAGCTCTGTGACTTGAGGACGTCACTCTTCTAGGAAAGAATGAAAACGGTACTCTGAGCTGGCGCACGCCTTTAATCCCAGCACTTTAATCCCAAGAGGCAGAGGCAGGCGGATCTCTGTGAGTTCGAGGCCAGCCTGGTCTACAGAGCTAGTTCCAGGACAGGCTCCAAAGCCACAGAGAAACCCTGTCTCGAAAAAAAAAAAAAAGAATATTCTGACTGAATGTTTTCACAACCTTAATGTTCGTTAACTTCTTTCATAGTTGCAGAAGCACACCGTTTTTTCCATAACACTCCCCGCCACGCCTCCTGAGGCATGGTGGTGCACAGTTTTAACTCCAGTACTTGAGAAGCAGAGGCAGGAGGCAGATCTGAGTCTGAGGTCAGCCTGTTCAAGAGTGAGGACAGCCAGAGCTACACAGAGAAACCCTGTCTTGAAAAAAAGAGAGAGAGAGAGAGAGAGAGAGAGAGAGAGAGAGAGAGAGAGAGAGAGAGAGAGAGAGAGAGAGAGAGAGAGGGGGGGGGGGGGGGGGTAATGGAGATCACACTCAAGTCCTCTACAAGGACTTTTCTAACTGAACTCCACACACACACACACACACACAATTTTCTACATATATAAACTTTTTATAATTTGAAAGAAAGATTTCTGTCCATTTTCATGTATGCCTGTGGGGTGCACCTGGAGGCTGAGGCTGATGTGCGAATTGTCCCTGACTGCTTCCCCCGTATTCAAGGAGGCAGGGTCTCTCAGGCAAACCTAGAGCTCACCATATGACTCGTCTAGCTAGTAGGCTTGCTTTGAGGATTCAGACTCAACCTTCTGAGGCTTGACTTAAAAAGAGCGGTGTGGAGCTTTAAATACATTCTTTGTGCTGCTTGTGCGAGCACTTTAGCCACCATCATTCTGTAGCCCAGGCTAGCAGGAAACTCAGGGCAAACCTCCTGTCTCACTCACAAGTGCAGAGGTTAGAGGAACAAATTTGGGAGTTAATTCTCTCCTTTCACCGTGGTTCCAGTACTTGGGACAGACCTGAGCAGCAAGTGTTTTTTTGTTTGACTTTTTGAGCCATCTTGCCTGTCCATTTCTTTCTTTCAAGAAAGGGGCTCATATAAGCCAGGCTGGACTTTAACTTGCTGTATTTTTTATTTTTAAATGTATATACTGTGTGTCTATGCATAGGTATGTGTGCCGCAGCAAGCATGTGGAGCTCAGAGTGACAAGAGTCATTTCTCTCCTTTCTGACACACTACATCCTCCAGTCTAACTGGCCTCAAACTTCCGTCTCCACCTCCCATCTCAATACAGGTGTGCTGGGATTACAGCTGTGGAGCACTGCAGCTGGCTTTTTCATATTTATTTGTTTGTTTTTTATGTATGCACTGTTCTGCCTGCACACCAGAGAGGGCACCAGATCTCATTACAGGTGGTTGTGAGCCACCACATAGGTGCTGGGAATCGAACCCAGGACCTCTGGAAGGGCAGCCAGTGTTCTTAACCGCTGAACCATCTCTCCATCCCTGCAGATGGTTTTTTAAGGTGAGCTTTGGGGGTCCAACTCAGGTCATCAGGATTGTGTAGCAAGTGCTTCTACCCACTGAGCCATTGTGCTGGCCCCCATTTTTGTACATTTTTAAGTGCAAAAACGTACATGCTTCTATATCACACACTTAAAGTACTAAGAATAGCATCTGATAGTGAGAAAGGGCTTAGATGTTGCTTCTGGGGAGTGGAGATGGCTCCCTAGTGTAGAGCAGGTGTGTGCTGCTGTGTTGGCAGAGGGCCTGAGTGCAGTCCCAGCGTCCACAGTGGGCCGCTGCGTAACTCCAGCTCCAGGGGAGCCCGCAGCTCTGACCTCCGCGGGCACTGCACGCACAGGTACATACCCACACACAGACACATAACTAAAAATGGTAAACAATAAATCTCAACCCTCTCAACCTTCCAGAGCCTAAGGCAGGAGGACGGAGAGCTTGAAGCAGCCTGGGCTACACAGAGATTCTTTTTCTTTGATGTCATATAGTTTTTGTTTTGGTCATTAACCCATTCTCTGAATATTAAAAAAAAACAACTTATTTTGAAGAATCTCTAAATGAATCCTAGCACATTTTATTTCAATGAAAAATTTAAAATGCTAGCCGGGCGATGATGGCGCACGCCTTCAATCCCAGCACTAGAGAGGCAGAGGCAGGTGGATCTCTGTGAGTTCGAGACCAGCCTGGTCTACAGAGCTAGTTCCAGGACAGGCTCCAAAGCCACAGAGAAACCCTGTCTCGAAAAAAACAAACAAACAAACAAACAAAAAAAAAAACAAAAAAAAATTAAAATGCTAATTTACAGAACTTAAAAAAAAAAAAAAGACAGTCTCATTATGCATCTTTGTATGGCCTGGACCTCCCTGTATATGCAGACTGACTTCAAATTTGTGGCAATCCTCTAGTTTCTGTCTTCTGGATCTAGGTGTGAACCACTATGCCCAGCTTGGTTTCGTTGTTATATGACACAGGGTCTCACTATGTTGCTCTGGGTGGGGCCTGGAACTTGCTATGCAGACCAGGCTGCCCTCGAACTCACAGAGATCTTCCTGCCTCTGCCTCCTGAGTGCTGGAATTAAAGGTGTGTACCACCACCGCCTGGCGATGTTTAAATATTTTAAACACATATTAAATTTTTTTAATGAGTTGGGCAAGAGATGGCTCAGCAGCGAAGAGCACTGGCTGCCCTTCTAGAGGACTAGGGTTCAATTTCTAGCGCCCACATTGCCAGGTCACAACTGTCTGTAACTCCTGCTCCAGGGAGGGAACCTGACGCTTTCTTTTGGCCTCCATGGGCACCAGGCATGCAAATGGTACACATATATGTAGGCAAAGCACACACACACACACACACACAAAAAAAAAATCCTTGAAATATTTTTTCTAAGCCTTAGCTTATTGTTTATTTAGTTACATATAAGTCTCTTAAACATGTATGAAGACATGTGAATACCGGTTTCTCCTATTCTTCAGAGTATGTAATAGATCATTCAGACCCAGAGGCGGCCAGAGTTGGGAAGACAGCTCGTTGGCAGATGGCCTGAAGTCACTCTTGCCAGGAGTCCCTTGTTCCAATGGTTCTTTCTCACCGAAAGCAGCACAGGGCAGTCACACCAGCAAAGGAGCTGGCTGAGAAACTGTGTGTGGTTGAGCTGACTGGAGTTATCAGTCTTGACTGCATCTTGCCTGCGCTTGCACCAGGTAATGGCGATGGGTTTGGAAGAGAAAAACTACGCTATTTCTTTCCTTTCTTAGGGACCGTCCCTGCCCCCCCCCCCCCGGAAAGTTGGAAAGTTTGTACTATTTTTCCACCTTCTGCTGGTCCTTCTGTCTGCTCTGAATGAGCTGTTCTATCAGTGTGCCCGAAAACTTTCTGTGTTAGTCTCTTCCCAAGCCCTCTCCCCTGCATTCATCTTTATGTAGGATATTCGAGGAAAGCACTCTTTGGTCTTTGGTGGGACCTCTGCCACCAAGAGTCCCAGTTCCCTCTCCTGGATTCCTCTATGAACTGTACACAGAGCACAGAATCCATGATTTTTGCCATGATTGCCACTGGTGAAGTCCAGACAGGCTTGCTTAGTACCAGCTAGCTTTTCCCATGGCCTTTACTTATCTTAAAAAAAAAAAAAAAAAAATCAAACTGCCTAACAGTCTCATGTAGCCCAGACTGACCTGAAATTCACTATGTAGCTAAGGCTAGCTTTGAACTCTAAACCTTCCTGGTCCCTGCCTCCTAGGTGCTCAGATTGCAGGCATGAGCCCCCAGTTCCACTCTAATTGTTTTTAATGTGTCCTTCAGAAATGCAAAGATGCATGGCTATTTAATTCTTATTGCATTTAATACTTTACATATGTGAATCTAATAAAGAACTATTTGTAGGCTAAATATAGAGTAGAAAAACCCAGAAACACTTTTCTCTTTCTCCCTAGGGCTCAAGGGTATTAAGAGCTAATGACCACATTTCTTTCCATGGACTGGCTGATGTCATTTGCCTATGGCAGTTCACTAGAACCTCAAAACAACTTAGCCAGGTATGTCTTGCAAAAGCTGGCTTAGAGAGACCAAAAGATGAGCTAAGAAGTGGCAAGGACAAACAACATTCAAAATGTCTTTACTAATCGCGGATGCCTCCCAAACAGGCATCTCTGCGGCTGAGTGTGGGGGCTTGGCTTTGCGTGTCAAACTTTGAAGTCTTTCTTTGGGTGTCAGCTATCAGCTGACTAAAGCTGGTATGAAAATTTTCAGTCCTGGGCACAGGATGTGTGATACACTGTCCAGTCTATCTCACTGTATAAGCCAAATATGGAGAGGGCTATGCCAAGAGCTGCCGGAGTGATAAGATCCAGGCAAGTTCTTACTGAAAACCAGACAGACAGATTCAGACCGACACAGACACACACATGGGCGCACGCGTGCATGTGTTGGAGAGTTCCCCACTTTTTGTCAAATGCTGGACTTTAGAATAAGTTCTGTGCACTAGGCTCTGTTGATACCAAGTTCAACCAGACGCCCATACAGTCTCCTGGGGGAAAACAGCCAGGACGAACACAGATACCACAGCCGACACAGGCTGCCAGAGCTCAAGGGGATGAGTCATCAGCTTGCAGTCAGGAGCGCAAGGGATCCAGGAGCGATACTGCAGCTCTGCCCCGGAGGCCAAGCAGGACAGATGGACAAGGCAGGTGATCATCCTAGCTAGAACAACATGTACAGGACACAGTGTCATGGGAATGGAGGATGGACTCTGGGACAGCAAAGAGCTCAGAAAGACACGCGTGCAGAGAGCGGGAAGCAAGAGCCGCTTAAGGGGTCAACACGAGGCCGGTTACTGCACTACACCTAGACATGGTGTGGTACTAGCAGGGGCTCAAAACAAGCCCGAAAGCAGCCGAGGCGCACTGAGCCAGCAACACGGGCAGGGAGTGCAGCTCCTGGACTCTGTTGTTGGAGGAAGCACGCAATAAATACCCAGCGGGTCAGACAAAGGACAGTC